CACCTTTTCCAGAAGTGGTCTGCCAGGACCTGGGCTTGACCCCAGCGACATCCGCTGTTGATCTCCTTGACCTGGAAAACTCCTGATGACATGGTGACGCTAGCGCACCCAACAACAGCTGTCGACAGCTGACGTTGTCGCTCGTCCACGGATGTCCCGTCTCATATCTATTGTCCAGCCTTCGTGTGGTGCTTTCCATGATTTGTACTGCTCTGATGTCATCGTGTGATCCGACGTCTTTGCCATCGAACTTGCTCCTAAATGATTCTGTGCTCCACCACTCTTATAGCAGTTGCTGACATCTCATCATCAGTTGTCATCTTGTTGATGAACATCATTTGGTGCGTTCTCTCTAGTACGAAGCCCTTTACAGAACCAGTTGGGGTCATCCAAAAGCGGTTCTGATGCTTACTGATTGACCGGCTTTGCTTTTTCCGACTTCAAACTGAAGAACAGCCTCGATCACATTGGCGCCGAGTAGGAGCTGCACGTTCTTCCCTGCACAGTCTAGGGGATAAAGATCCTGAAAGTGCTTCCATTCTGGTTTCTTGTTCTGGTGTCGAGGGACTGTGACGTTGATGTCTTTCACCGAGAAGACCTCGGAAACTATAATTCTGGTACCATCGTCTCCTGATGTCGCAGGCTCCAGCGCCAGTTTCGTCGAGCTCTGACCAAAACCATGTCCTCCAACAGTTTGCAGCCGAAGTGCTTGCTGTTCTCCACGAAGATCAAGTTGTGTCATCACATCCTCTGACACCAGGGATGCCTGAGAACCAGGGTCAAGTAAAGCACAAACTTTCATGGACTTGCCGTGGCTGCCGATGATGGTGACCTGTACAACCTGCGGCAGAGTTGTTACAGCATCGCTTTGCAGTGAGGCTGCGGCCACCACACGATTGTCTTCAGGTTTTGGACACAAAACCTCACGGTTGGTCCGGAGGGTCACCCTAGTGCTTCCATGCAGCACATGGTTGTGCCTCATCTTGCAGTCATCGATACCACATGGCTTTGCGAAGCGACAATTTTCAACACCATGTCCCTTCTTCGGGCAAAAGAGCAGCGGCCAGAGCTGGCAGCGAAATGAGCTCTGTCATCAACCGTCATCAGCATGCAGGAAGGACACACGCATACTTCATGCTGGCCGTTGCAGTTCACACAGATCTTTCCAGCGGTTATGACGTCCGTGACCAGAGCAGTTCGCTCGACTGCCTTCTCACTCTGCCACCGCCGCATGTGTCTCATTGGGTCATTCTCAGCTGCCGTCTTATTTGACTCCGGAGACACGATCACGGAGTTGAGGGCTTCCCTCACCTGTTTACGCAGCCAGGCATCGAAATGGATTAGACTAGGTATATCCAGGTCCAATTTGTCCCCCCCCCCCCCAGATTCCCTTCAGCTCTGATGGGAGCTTCTCCACCACACGCCTACGGTTTTCGCAGCTGTGGGGATCACCATGGTAACTCACAGGTTGGCATGCACAATATCCTTCGGGCGTCCGAAACCGTCCTCCAGTGCCATCAGGGCATCATCATACAGTTTACCATCATAAGACATACCACTTATGGTATGCTGTGCAAGACCCGACACTGCAGCCTGCGGGTGTGCCATCTTTTCAGTCAAAGTGGGGGTCAAGCACGATCAAGCAAGATCAGACGCAACCATTGTGCCCGTAACAAGGGCGATAAATAAGACTGGCAGCTTACATTATAATGATAGACCTAAAGCATTGGATTTGTATGTACTGAAATATCATCAACTTAGAGGGGATCTGATGGATGCATTCAAGATAATAAGAGGGACAGACAAGGTAGATGTACACGGGGCACTGGAATTTAGGCCAGGACTTAGAGAGAATCGGTTTCAATTAGAAAAAGGTACAGGCACTATGAAGGGGCAGTCTTTGAGTCAAAAAATAACAAATTGGAATGGACTGCGAAGCGAAGTTGCAGGAGGTTAATGCCTAGCAACATTTAAGAATCGTTTGGACTAGTTCTATCGACCTCATTAGACCTAAGGACCTCATTCATAGCTAAGTTCATACAGATCACGCGGCAAGATTAGTTTCGGGAATGTGCGAGGAACCCGAGGTAGGCCAGCCTCAATGGGTCCTTGTGACCTTTTATGGGCCTGATGTCTTCATGTCCTTGTCTCTATGATCGCGTTCCGTCCGTTGTCTCCTGGCCGAGTGGGATTGTGCTCCGTCGGGTGTCTCCTGGATGTGTCGGATTGTGCTCCGTCGGGTGTCTCCTGGATGTGTGGGATTGTGTTTCGTCTGGTTTCTGCTGATGTGTGGGATTGTGTTCCGTCTGGTTTCTCCTGGCCGAGTGGGATTGTGCTTCGTCTGGTTTCTCCTGGCTATGTGGGATTGTGTTCCGTCTGGATTCTCCTGGCTGTGTGGTTTTGTGCTCCGTCTGATTTCTCCTGGCTGTGCGGGATTGTGTTCCGTTTGGTTTCTCCCGGCCGAGTGGGATTGTGTCCGGCGGCACCATAGTTACAGGTAGACCGTACCAGGCTGGCTCCAGCGGTGAAAACACCGGCTGCCTGTCCGATATTAATGTCCTCAGGAAACTCATTTGGTCTCCAAACACACCGGGCAGATCGCGAGACGAAACATCTGAAAAGTGCAGAGCTCTCACGTACGCGCCGTAAAGGGCGTCAAATGCGGGCACCACATTCGCGCAAAGCGCGAGATGCAAAGGGAAGACAATCTAGCGCCAACGTGCACCCTGCCGAGGACACCACCACCTGCCTGATCCTGACTACTGCCTGATCTGCGACACTGCCTAATCCTGACCACTGCCTGATCCTGACCACTGTCTGATGCTAACCACCCGCCTGATCTGCAACACTGCCTGATCCTGACCACCTGCCTGATCCTGACCACTGTCTGATCCTAACCACCTGCCTGATCCGCGACATACGTTTCGACTCACGCGAAGAGCAAATACATTGTAACGATTGCCAGCGCTAGGCTTGCGTCCCAGAGCAAGGCACAGAGCAAGAACCAAGAAGTAGGGGACTTTGTATGCCGCCTAGTGCGAAACAATGAAAGCGTGCTACTCTTCGGGGCGGAACAAGGATAGTGAGGTCTCTGTAACGGGTTTCACAAATCTGTACACGCGCTGAAATGGTATGAGAAGTCAGCCAGGACCAGGGGTTGATCTCGAGCGTTTTCAACTGCGCAGTCTGGCAAGCGTCTCGTCACTGGTGACCCAGTGACCCGTCTCGTTACTGATGACCCAGAGACCCGTCTCGTTACCGGTGATCCGGCGATCTATATTTTCCATATGGTGTCTCGGCGGCACCGCGACTCCCAGCACAGTTCTGGAATGAGGACAAGGAAGACGGGCACAAAGAAGACGCTAGTGTGGCGTGAGCTCAGTTTGCTAACAGCAGGAACCCCGTTCACCGACTTCTTCCGCATTACCGTCCACAGGTCAGACCCCGTCATCCACCGGCTGTACACGAGCATGCATAGACAGGGCATCAAAATAATTATGTGCGACGGGATGACAGGAACATTCCGTGGCATGAGAAAATGGATGAAGAGAACGAACAAATGGATGGCGAAGACGATAGACGAATCCCAATGTTTCTGCCCTAGACAACGAACTTTCGATCTCCCGACCTTTCTGCTTTTGTGTCTGGAACGACCTCTCCGCTTTTGTAGATACCACTATTTGTGCACGCAGATTTGCTCACCAATTCGCGATACAAGGATTTATACAAGAAGAAATGCGGCGCGAATCGACGAGACACGAAGGTTTGTGCAACCCCGATTTTATTAACGACGCCTTACATGATCTAAAATAACACACGATCAAGCTACACCCATTTTTTTACTAATGCGCGTGGAGGGCACGTGCAAATCCAAGGAACTCGAAATTGCCTGGGAGCCATGACTGACTTTACGGGGCCCCACGACGTTCATCTTCCTCACATGACCCGACGAACGTCCTCGGACCCGTTAGCTCAAACCCCGACAGATTATAGGCACATGCCAGCTGAACGTACGTAAAACGCCAGCTGGCACACTCGGCGGAACCTTCGGCATATTTTAAGAGGGGGGGGGGGGGGGGACTCAGCCATAACATGATTCTGAACTTCAACGTCCAGAACCCATTGGCACTATCTAGAAAATATTAAACCTTACCCGCATTAAACCCAAGCAATTTTGAGGAGTTACAACTTTAAAAACAGTTTGGACGTTGCTTCCGATTCAGCAGTTGGCGGCAGATGCCGAGAGCGAGGCCGCTGCCTCTCTAGCGGCTACTTGCGGCGGCCAGCGACTCAGACCCCGGCGGAGGACATGGGACGCGTGGTACGGTCCCCGCACCGGACCTCCAGCCTCGGCCGGGCCAGTCTGGCCAGCGGCACCCGGCATCACGCGAGCACGCCACGGCCGGGGCAACCCAGCTGGGGGCCGAACCAGGCGGCTCTCCCGGCCCTCCGGCTCGGCTCGGCTGTATGACGTCATAAGACCCTGGAACGTGCTGGTGGTCCCGCCGCGCATCTACTGACCGCAGCTCTGCACCGAATACGATCCGTCCGGCTCCGTGCGTGACTCAGCTGCTTCAGCGACATCGGCTCTCTGGTCACGCGACGGAACCTCGCTGTCCTCCCACCTATTGATCATCACGCGCTACGTGCTGGTCGCTACTTTGCTGGTTGTCATTAATGTATACTACCTCGCCGGTATCATACGCCGCATCTGCATCAGCGATTACTGCCGCGTTCTGCAGTGCCGGCCACTGGCCAACTCCGCAGTGATGCGACTGCCGCTGCGTTCAGTGTCGCCCGGCGTCACGGGTGGGGCCCGGCCGAACAGACGCTCAGTGCGACGCGCCTGCGCCTGCCTGACGGGCGACAACTGAGGCGCGCGGCTGCCACACGCCCGGCAGCCGTTTGTACATGATGCGGCAGGCGCGGTGCGGCAGGATCGCCGTCACGTCCGCGGCCCGCTCCAGCGCCGAGCCGGCGTAGCCGGTCTCGCAGCCAACCTCAAATCCGAGACGCTCGTAGATGTGCTGTGTGGTGCTGGACGTGCAGAAGCAGAGCGAGACGGGCGCGCCGGAGCGCACGGCGCCCTCCAGCGACGTGCGGCGACACAGCTCCGACCCCACGCCCAGGCCGCAGTATCTGCCGGCAAGGTGGCGTCAGGCCTTCAGTCGGGCCATCACACCTGCAGGGCGGGTGTGCTCAGTCGGTCGACGTCCAGACCACAGCCGACGCGCACACACACACAGAGTTCAAACTCCAGGCGGCACACAGGCTATACGTTTGACCGAGCAGCAATGTCCAACACATGCTGTCGTAATGCAGGTGTTTTCTCGACCGTCTCGAGTTATGGGACGACGGCCCGCCAGACCCTACCTGCCAGTGTAGCGTCATGTGCACATTACGCGATGTACATATAGCGTCAATGTAAGGTAACACGAATGTGACGTCACGCACATGAACAGCAGATGAATCATTATTCGGACTGTCGTCCTGGTCTTTGTGTGCCAGGATATACATATCGTTTCAGTTCAATCCCTGTCCAGAAAAGCACCACTCGCTGGGCGGACCCCGTCTAAATCAGCATGCACGGTAACACACCACACACACACACACACACACACACACACACACACACACACACACACACACACACACACACACACCCACACACACACACACACACACACACACCCACACCCCACACCCACACAAACCCACACCCACACCCACACACACCCACACCCACACACACACACACAGTATGCCGTGAGTTTTTCTATTTTCGAGGCAAACCTCACTCGAAAACGTGGCTGGTCCATGAAAGGTCGTTCGAAAGGAACTTTTCTACCTGTTCCCTACGGCACGTGTTGAATCGTTTGCCAACAGCTGTTGCATGCTATTAGTAAAATGCATTAGTCACTTCCTTGAGAGCTTTTTGACATGTTCTAGGCAAAACACCCACGTTCATTTGAAATCAATTAGCTAGTGTAGCATCTGCACCAGGCCACCTCCGCGGGCTGCAAATATTTAAGGCAGACTTATGTTTCAGCATACAATTGTAGGCTTAGTAGAATTTTGCATTACACTAGAATTGTTGCCTGCCCTTCGTTATAACAGACATCTGTTATCCTGCAGAAGACAACCATCCAAAAAGAAACTCTGAAGTTTGGCGGTGCAGAGCCGTGCATGGTCAGACAACGATCGCCGACTACTGATTGCCATAAACACCATCGACAGAGCGCAAGGCTGGGAAGTCAGAAAATAAAAGGTCATAGAGGCATCACACAGGCCATTGGCTAACAACGCCATCAGTAAGCCAAGTGTAGTCATAGGTCCGACATGGCTCCCAATTCCGCAGAGAATTCCCCGAATATTCAGAGGATTAATGACATCAAGCTCTAACAAGGACTAGCTATCTTTCTCATCCTTCCGTTGCCGCTCTGACAGATTCCAGTCCGGCAGAAAACATTTAAGCCAAAGCTAGGGGTGCAGGTGGATCCAGAAAATGTGAGAAGAGAAAGCGCCGTTTGTATCCACAACGATTCTCGGGCATTATTTGAAAGTGCTGAGCGCGTCATCGAAGTTCATTTCCTCCACTGCATTCTCGAGTACATCCACCTAGCAGTGGTCATGCAAAAGCTGACAAAGCGGCGCTATAACTTAACACTGACCGACGCACAGCAAGCCAAGAGGGTATATGCTTACGCGGTGTTCGAGCGCTACCCCCGGCAGACACTTACCTGGGATCGACAGCCAGCATCAGGTTCTCCGACACGGCTGACGCGCCCAAGTCCCTGAACACGTTGAAACTGCCGTCCACCTGCATCAAGAAGCGCTGGTAGGCGGTACCGGCCGCCGTGCCGCCGCCCCACAGCCGGCTGTACGGGTCCGGCTCGCCGGGGCCGTAGATGGCGCTGAGACTGGCGCCGACAGTGGCGCCCCTGGCGGCGTCCAGCGCCACCCAGCTGGCGTCCCAGTTCCACTCGGGTATGGAGGCTCGAAGCCAGCCGCGGTGACCACCCGGAGCACCGCCGGCCAGTCCGGCCAGCACCGAGAACTGGCCACCGACGACATCGTGAGAAGCGCCGTCACGTCACGCCCTTTTGTTCATACAAATTGTGATCTCAGTCAATTTACTTCAGCAAAGATCGTCCTCATCTGTTGGCTGCCAAGTCTATGAGACGTTGATTGCTAAGTCATATCAGATTGCATGCGAGGTGCATGCTATCCTGTGGTGATCTCGAGCAATTCTCATGCATTTAACATCGGAGAAACATATTCAAAACATACAGACCTGTCGCCTGCCCGACGTCTGAAGCGCTAGCCAGCCCGAACTTTGAAACGCAATGGACCCAATTCGTGGGGAGACAATTCTTGTGACGCATTTTCCCGCCCCACTAGTATGTACGGCTAGCAGCTAGTGATTACGGCTAGCAGCATTCAGTCACACTTGGATAGGCATCAGTTGATAAAAAGTAGTCAATATGATTTTCTTTCTGGTATGTCGTGTTTGAAAGACCCAGGAGTTTATGGAGCGCGTGACTAATCAGATAGATAAAGGCGATGACTTTCATGTGGTTCACCTGAATTTTAGCGCAGCGTTTGATGAGGTGCTACATCAGCGCCTTTCTATCAGTTAAAATTGCATGGCACTGCGGGAAAAATTATTGGTTGAGTAAGGGTAACATATATAAAATAGTAGGCAGAAAACAAAGAGCAGTTTACAATGGTGCTAAATCTCATTGCGACCAAGTAGAGAGTGGGGCTCCGCAGGCGTTGGTGATGGTCCCTTCGCCCTTATTATTTTTATGAATTATAGAAATTAAGATAGTATTAGAGAATAAGGTGCTAAAATTTGCTGACGATAATCAATTGGTAAGGATGTCGCAAAATACCAATCAAGAGAAAAATCAGGTCCGTTTAAAGAAAGAAGTGAGCTGGGCTTCTCTGTGCCAGATGACATTTAATATCATCAGTATAAGGTGATGCACTTGGCAGTGAGGGCATTAAGTATAAAATGGGACGCCAAGAGTTGGACCAGATCGCGGAAGAAAAGGACTCAGGGGTTATCATTTCCAGGGATTTAAACGCTGAACGGCAAAGCGAAACAGCTAGGAGCAGAACACTTCGGATGCAGGGATTTATTAACAGAAATGTCCGTTACCAAGAGCACGAACGTTGTCAAAAAGTTGTGCTTAGCTAATACCAGACCACAGTTAGAGAACTGTACGCATGCCTGGTCGCCATGCTTTCCCTAAGATATAGATAGGTTGGAAAGAGTACAGCGAAAACCGACTAGGATGATAGATGGAATTGGCGACTTGGAATACATGGATAGGTTTAGAGTCTTGGGGAGGTATTCTGTGAAATATCGTAGACTTAGAGGGATCTGACAGAGATATTCAAGATTATGAAAGGGATAGCCGAGGTAGATACACAGGGAGGATTCGGCAACAAATCAACAGGGGTGTAACACCAAACATTTCATATTTTGATGACTTTCCTTCCAAGCTTTTTCATTTGCCCCGAATCTCAGTGCCATTTTAAGGAAGGTCAGGATAATGGTCGAAGAGCGCTTGTACGTTGTACATGTACATTTGTACATACGAAGAGCATTGAAGAGCCTCGGGCATCTGTACGAAGTCAGCTAACACACTCATCTCCCCGAGCCTATAACCCTATCAATAGTAAGTTGCATCACACAAAACTATTTGCCATAAACGTGCAATGAGGCGGTGCATCTTTTGCCTTCTAATTTTTTCCTCCCTTAATTTTCGAAACTGTGACAGCGTGACAAAAAGTTGCGTGACCTATTTTGAATCTTTTGAATAGTGAAAATGTTATTTTGCTAAATGCACGAATAAGGAGCAATTATTCTTTTATCACACTAACGAACAAAAAAGACGCATTTTTACTCAACAATGCTACATATTCGATCCAAAATAGCAATGCGCATATGTTTTTGCATTTCCTCTACTAGTTGTGATGTGTGTAAGGGATGTTCCATTGCCGAAGCAAAACTCAATGTCGTCAAGCATGTCACTGGGTGAAAAGATGCACCATGTGACAGTATTTTTGTAATACAAGTGTATAAATGTGTCTGGATAAGGCGGGTCCCCCGGCTCCCGGCAAAACTGAACCAAAATTTCATTGCCATAAGACAAAAATAAGCAAGTAAAAATATGAGAACGGCTAAAACAGGAACATTTACGTTTCTCTCCTCTCAGTTTATCTCCACAGGCCGCTTGACCATGGCAGGGTCACAAAGTTGGGTAGGGGAGGGGGCACGCAAGGCTGTGAAGGATGCAAAAAAATGCACGGGTTGTGTCTTTTGATGAATTGAAAGGAGAGTATGTGTCAGTATTTCCGCAGTCGCAATCGGATGGTGAATAAGCTGTGTTTTTCCTGTCCACCCCTCACGCCGCGGGAATAAAAAGCTACGAGTGCAAAGGAATGTCATCTTATCTGGCGGGGCCCAAAGGGTGTTCCCGTGTACATGACCTGGAAGAACAGCCAACTACAAAATTCGCAAAGTCTCTTGCCGAAGGTCCCTAGCGTGAGGAAAGGTCTAAGCATTCCTGACGCGGACAACGAGAAAGTAAAGATGTTTCACAGGTCGGATCAGGTCAGATGGATGTATCCGAGGAAAGGACAACACATGGGATTTTTCAGCGAAATTTGTTGTACAAGTTGGGTCATTTTGCCACGACGTCTTAGGGGAACGTAGAAACAAACCGGTCAAATAATAGCACCCAAAAAAATTGTCATGAACAAAAACAAAACCAGTTATGGAGACCTCACGATCGACACCACCCGGCGAAAGCGATAGCGGAAATCGTCCGACATTGAACATCAAACAACACTAGACACGTCTAACAGGCCTATCGCGAGTGTTCCGTTGCAACCTGCATAAGGCCTTGTGGCTACCAGCCCGGGTTTCTATGACGGCCTTTAATAGCCGCGCACATCAATTTGCACGCTCTATTCCACGCCCAACAACGTTTGAAGCGACATTTCATTGACCCTGCGTCGATTACCGAAACCTGGTTTCAACAATCCACACCAAACTAAATATGATAATTATGCCCAAAGACAACATTATCCGCGGTAATAGAGCGAGCAAACGTATAAGAGCACGACTTTAGTTTCCCATTCAGTAAGGGAGGGGGGGGGGGGGAGGGTTTTGAAACTTCATGACGTTGAGATCAAAGAGGGTCAAATCCAGACAATTTTTCAGAGCTACACTTTCCCTACTCATACACCCAGCCCCCCCCCCCCATCCTTACTTTGCGAAGCTACGCTTCTGTGATGGAGGATCAACGGCAGTGACATGCGACGGATTCTATTGCGAATGCGAATGGACTGCCAAACAAAGCTAACAAACTCAAAGTTGAGGTTGAAGGAAAAATTTAGTGAAGTCCCTCTCTAGCAATACTTAAAATTAAGTTGGGCAAGTTCTGCTGGTTTGAATATCGCATTTATAGCTGAATTCAGGCAGCTCGGGTGGTAGTATTCGTTTTGAGAATGCGCGGAACCCGAGGTACACCAAATTCGATGGGCCCCATGTGGCTGTTTGTTATTCAGATGTCTTAAGGTCTCTTTATGTCTATCACTGTCTCGATTTTCCAGGACATAAAAGCAAACCTCAGACAATAGCGGAATGAGAGTGATCCATCGTAAAATCACTACCGTCAAATCACTAACGTCACAACATGCATACAACGGACACGTAAGGACGCTTCAGGAAATGTCGTCGCCTGAGGGGTGAAAAAGGATATTCCAGAAGGAAGATTTTGCTGTGTGGATTACGAGCATTGTTTGTTGCGTAAGTTATTCAGTGCATTTGTGAGCAGTATCATTCATACGTATAAGACAGTAACAATGACCTTCTTCGTCGAATAAAAACCAGGAGATATCTATGTCGCCATTCTCCATTCTCTACATTTCCATCCTCCTGGTTTTTTCTCGAGAAATAAGGCTATTACTACTGTCCTTTATATGTTGCTTGTTTTCTTTGCTTTTCTTTTTGATGGGGGAGGTGACTTAGATCGCAGATTGAAGAGGGGAAGAGGAAAACACTCGAGGAGACGAACCTCTAAAGAGGACAAGGGCTTCAGCCATGGCTAGCGGAGCTAGAGATCGCCCTTTATTTGTTGTTCATGAACTCTGGCCGGTATTTTTTATATTTTTTATCATTAACAATCGCAGTCAACCCCAGCCAGCGGCACGCCATCAACATCACACTGGGCGACGGGATATCTGCACACACACACAACGCACTGTTGACGGTACGGGAATAGACGAGGAGCTGGTGTATCCAAGGGTGCTGCCGTTACAGAGGGAAAAGGACGCTACAGTGCACTGTTGACGGTACGGGTATAGACGAGGAGCTGGTGTATCCAAGGGTGCTGCCGTTACAAAGGGAAAAGAACGTTACAGTGCACTGTTGACGGTACGGGAATAGACGAGGAGCTGGTATATCCAACGGCGCTGCCGTTACAGAGCGAAAAGACGCTACAGTGCACTGTCGACAGTGCAGGGAAAGACGAGGATATATCCAACGGTGTGGCAGTCACAGATGGAGACGGACGCAATAATGTCATGTTGACAGTGTCAGAGAAGATGACAAGCTGATGTCCTCCATCCAAGCATGCAAACGTTTAAGTGGGGGAAAGACGCTACAATACTCTGTTGACAATGTGTGCGAAGACGAGAAGATCCGGTGGCGTAGTGGTTGGACTGCGCGTCTGCGTAATGAGTCAGCGTAAAGACCCAACGGCAACAATGACTAGTTAATACCCTCCATTCAAACATGAGGTCGTGACAGATGAGACGGCACGCTCCCATAAACTGATGAAAGTATCAGGACAGACGGAGAAGGTCATGCCCTCCATCAAACGGTGTGGCCAAGACAGAGCATAGAAACGCTGTTGAAGGGTCCACCAATTCTCTGACCAAACCGGAGAGGCTTATCATCGAGCGGACTCATGGTCTTCTATCAATAGCACAGCTGTACCCCGTAATAACGGCACACAGCACCCACCGTCGGCTCTCGGGTGAAGAAATGGTCGACCATGAAGTCGACGACCTCCTCAAGCCGGTCTTGCTGCAGTCGCACGTACGTGATCTGGGGTTGATCCCCTGCCGCCGGCATGGCTTGCTGCGCCGGCACGCCAGCCAGCCAGTGCGGTGCCGCTGCAGACGACCCGCTCACGTCAGGCCCAAAGGCACGGTCAGAACAGAACACTGGCAACCGACGTTTGCGATGTAGGTTTTCACCAAACACGCCCAGTCCTGCAAACTTATGTTTCCTGTGGTTGGCGCCCACTGCCCTGCGTCATGCAGATAGAAATATATCCTTCCGTGCCAACATTCCGATGTCCGCACCATCCACGACCAAATGTCTCGAAACTCGAAAACTCAGATTGTTGAACCTACTGACAGTTCACAAATTCGCTTGGCAAATGGGCAGCGGCACAGTTCAGCCGACGGTGAAAAGCATTATGACACGTCTCTTATATTGCACACAGAAGCCCGTCCAGAAATAGTCCCTGCCAACGCACTGTTCGCTGCCGGTCCGCGCAGCTCACCTGTAGTCGGCTGGCGGTCCGGCTCACGTGACGTCAGCCCCAGGGCTGGACGGGAGTGTATCGAGCGACGGCGGCTGGAGAGCTCTGCCTCCATCTGACGCCGCCCTCCCGGGCTCGGTCGGACGCCGTCGCGTTGGTCGGGCCGTGCGCCACTCTCCCGACACGACAGCCTCGGGGCTTCGGTTACCATGCGCCCCCCGTGGTGCCGCCTTGGCAGTTGGCAGGCGTCCAGCCCCACCCCCATCCCCCGCGCTCAAGGTCATCACCCGCATGGGCAGGCAAGCTCCGGGCTCCGGGAGCAGGGCTCGAGGTGAGATTGCAAGCAAAATGCTTGTGGGGGAATACATCATTCTTATTCGTGATAAGGGATTGGCGCCCCCGGCAACAACGTATGCTATAGCAACGTATAAATAAGGTCCTCTGAGCAACTGGAAACGACCCGAAACCAATATGAAGGGCCCTTGAGCAACCGAGGATACCCCGGCAGGTTAACATTGGCCCCCACCAATAGCGTACAGAGCCTTTCAGGGGAGTGGGAACTATCTGTGGAGGGTACTTGATCACTCAAGAACGCACCTCCAGGCTTGCATATCGGGCTCCAACAACAGTGTACGGCCCTCCAAGCAAATGCAAAGAAATCGAGGGCAACGCGGAAGGCTCTTTAGCGATCGGGTTGATCCGGAGATGGACATATAGGACCTCCGACAATAGCGTGGGCACTAGGGACAGTGTACTGAGTATTAAAACCTCCCCAACCACCACCGTTTCAATCACGCAAGCAACTATTTTTGTCATGTGAGTGTTGCCATGCGTTTTTCCAGGTAGAACAAAGGCATGCAAGGTCAACTGAGGTCATCCAAGGTCAATGACCCATGTTAACAGCAGCGGATAGGCTAGATGAACAAGACGCGCGTGACCACCTTCCCACCGTGTTTGTGAAGCTGATGAAGTCTAATTGCATGTACCAGCGTACCTGTTCTCAGGTTATTGCAGATACATTGCTATGCGTCAAAGGGACCATGCATGATGCAGACAACAGATATGTGACCTCGAATACCTGTAGCCACACATTACACTACATTTGGCCACAGATTATAAACGTTGTATTAGTCACATCGGCCCGAACGGCGCTTCATTTTCTCATTTGGATGGCTTTAAAATCTGACCTAAGTTGACCTCAGATGACCTCTAGGCTGCCCTAAAATTATATTTTTTTTTTGCTTGGAATGGTTTGGTCCCACAGATGCAGGTCGACCGTTTTTACCTTTCGTGACCCCTGGTGACCTCATATTTGACCTATGTTTAGTGTGAATTTTTCATGACTTGACGAGACCTTCAAAACGGTATATTTTGCTTTCCTCATCCGGCGACTGAAAATTGGAGATTCCAGATTCAGCAGCCGTGATTGATACCGATCTTGCCATTCCAGGCCTCAGGAAACAAAACATGGGAGAACCACAGATCATTTCAGACTGTCATAATGAAGCTGAGCAGGTTTTCAAAAAGATCACGGAAAGAATGGTGCAACTCATCATTACCGACTGAGGTGTCGCCGCGGATTTAATCGCTCTTTTGAGCTCCAGTCAAGAAAAGTGCGCAGTGTTCTGTGTTGTCGGGTAAGAGAGCATTGGCACTGAAGTGAAAACGGGCCTGCGCTTGATCCACGAAAAGTGCGCTGTGAATCAGCATAAATATATCATTTCATGATCAGTTTAAACCTAAATATCCTATTCATTCTGAGTTAACAGTGAAAGCAGCGGTTATGACACAAAAGGATCGATGCTTGTGTCTACGTTGTAGGTATGATTTGGTTCGCAACGTGACTGCAAGTGATTGTGTGATGCGTAATTTAACACGCGCTCCGATGGGGGCTCAGATTGTGTGGTACGTAATTTAACACGCGCTCCGATGGGGGCTCAGATTGTGTGATGCGTAATTTAACACGCGCTCCGATGGGGGCTCAGATTGTGTGGTACGTAATTTAACACGCGCTCCGATGGGGGCTCAGATTGTGTGATGCGTAATTTAACACGCGCTCCGATGGGGGCTCAGATTGTGGTACGTAATTTAACACGCGCTCCGATGGGGGCTCAGATTGTGTGATGCGTAATTTAACACGCGCTCCGATGGGGGCTCAGATTGTGTGATGCGTAATTTAACACGCGCTCCGATGGGGGCTCAGATTGTGTGATGCGTAATTTAACACGCGCTCCGATGGGGGCTCAGATTGTGTGATGCGTAATTTAACACGCGCTCCGATTGGGGGCTCAGATTGTGTGATGCGTAATTTAACACGGCGCTCCGATGGGGGCTCAGATTGTGTGATGCGTAATTTAACACGCGCTCCGATGGGGGGCTCAGATTGTGTGGTACGTAATTTAACACGCGCTCCGATGGGAGCTCAGATTGACCCACCAAGGGTTTTCCAGAATGGTTTCCGAACGGCACGGCATGGGCCGCGCCAACTATTGCGTAACTGTAGGCAACTGAATAGCAGGTCGTTTGGCATAAACAAATTTAGATACACCTTGTACGGTCGCTAACCTATGGCAGGTCAAAGTCATGCAATGGTTTCAGCGAAGGCAATATGAGGAATAGTTCAATCTGATCCAACAACGGAGCGTAAGACGAAGCCATACATCTCTGGGATACTTTCTTAGGTTACACAACAATTAAATAAACAAATTGTATTGACCTAAGTCCAGGTATGAAGGCCATAGGAGGTCAAATCAACCCGTCTCTAGGTTGATTGTGATGTGATGTGATGACGATGATGATATGTCCTTAATCTAGGGCTTGCTGTATGAGGTGGTTTCTGGTGCTCATTCCGAATTTATTGACCACAGGTTCCGCATTATACACCTTCCATAGACTTCTTTAAGGTCAAAATAGGTCACTGACCTAGAATGACCCAGGTCAACATTTTGTTTTTAGGAACATACTGCCTAGCTAATATTTGCCGCTTATCCAACTGCATAACTCAAAACGGTCCTGTATGATTTTGCCACCATGACCTTCAAAAGGTCAAACGGGGTTGCTGACCTTAATGAGCATTTGACTTTCGTGTAAGACAGCCATCTAGGTTCCAGGGGTCCTTTGGAGACCAAACTGGAATTTCACTTATTTGACCTTATTTTACCCTAAGGACATGACCTAGGAACCTCAAACATTAGCATTAGTCAGTTCACGTACAGGTCAACACACCCGGTAAATTTTGTGTCTCTAGCTCTTAGCTTCTTAGATCTCAGTGGGTCAGATTGACCCGCCCCCCCCCCCCCTCCCCTTCTCAACCCGAGCGAGGATACCCAACCGGCCATCCGAGCGCGTGCCAAACATAATTTTGAATTAATCAGTGCCTTACTAACCTGGATTGCCCGTTGTGCCGATATTGCCGTGAAACTGTCGGCCACATAAACAGAGGATGGTGGCTGGCTATTTGTGTAAGATGCACCTTCCTTGGTACTCAAATAGCAGTTGGGTGGTTTTCAAAAGCAAAAGCTTCTGTTGAAATTAGGACATTTTGAAACCTCAGCTGAACAGAGGACCTGCAGTTTTCTCGCATTTGCTACTGAGATCTTGTTTGGAGTCCCGGGAAAAAGTCCCGGGGGACCCCCATAGTTCACCTGGCACTTACACCTTTTAGGCGTCCACTTCGTGCCCTAGACATACCGCACGGAAATAATTATTCAGGTGGAAATTCAAACTCCACACGCATACCCCGCAGCATCGACCCTCCGCTTACCCACCTCACGACCCCCTCGGGAGCGACGGGACCGCGTACTCCGAACTGGGACGACTCGACAACAGCTGGTTTAGAGACGAAACATCGTTGGGCAATAGCCCGGGAGGAAAGACCCCAAGAATGAGCGCAATCCCAACAACATGTTATGTTAAGAACGTAATATTTTGGTGTATTAGCACCGTATTGTTACATAAAATAAAGCTTTATCCGACAAATTTGGTACAAAGTCATCTGCAAGGTGCACTCGTCACCAACAAACCCGCGTCTTGAATCTTGACAACAAATAATGGCCGCTACCTAGTATTAGCATATGTCATAGTTGACAATATCGCACTTGAAAACCTCTCGAGATGGAACTTGTGGACAGCAAATTACTTAAAATTTTTGGTACAGAGCTATAAACAACTATGGGTGGGACTGCCGTTGTCGTAAGACCAAAACCGTTGACCGGCGCAGAAAACGCTTCGAGGCCAGAGCCGGACGCGCGAGAACGACCGTCCTGAATAGTGCTCCCGAGTCTTTCAGAAGCAATTCGTAATGTTCAAAAATAGGACGCTGACTACCTCTGACCTTTATAATTGTAAGGTTATTCATTAATTGGATGATTTTTTTGAGAGAACAATGAGAACAATTGTAGCAGCACGAAAAGTGGATAGTCTTCTTTACTTTTCCAGTTTCAAAGCCAGATTTCAGCAAGAGCTTTGCGCTGCTGTAAATACTAATCCGTTTCGGTTGCCAATCCAAATCAATACAACAATGACGCAGGTCAATACCCGACAGGAACGCTTTCTAAAAACGCATAAATTGATGTTATAAAGTATTCAAGGGTACTTATTTTAGCTATTTTTACAGTTCAGGCCGCCGTTAGCCGCTGCTTCGTGTTACCCGCAGGCCGAACCCGTGCTGCCTGCGGTGTGCAAAGCCGGACGTCTGGTTTTTGGTTCTAAGACTTCAGAGCGCGCACGTTTAAAACTTTGGTTCATAGTTTTTCACTATTCACTTCTTGCTGAAGGTTGGACATTCCCAGGCGAACATGGGTTAGCTATGTAAATACAAATTGTTGACCCCTTTCGATCCGCAGTCAGTCCACGTTCCCAGTCTTCGATATCTGAGCCCAAAATCGTGCCTGTTCGGGAGCAAGTGGGCCAAATTTGGTGATTTTTTAGGGGGCGGGGGCTTTCACCATCAAGGGACCCCTTTGCCAGCCTTGTGCTCTCCCGGACGGGACACCTACGACGGACACCTACGACGAACACCAAGACGAGGCGTGGTGGACGTGCCGCCGGACCCGCCACAACCCGTCTGAGGCCCCACGGGCGCTGGAGATTCTAGCCAGAGGAAGAGCTGGGATGCGCCGTGACCGACGCGCACGACGCGCACGACGCGCCTCGCAGCCACCAAGATCCGATCGACTCGGGGACGCGGCCGACGCGGGCACAGCGACCCGGTAAAACGAATGACGGAGCATTGTGAGCGCAGGATGAGAGAATGCAGGTGACGGGTAAAGGGGGGAGTAGGGGGGGGGGGGGGACAAAGAACAGCTCAGTTCAGGCACGGTCCCCTTGTCCCTAAAACGAACGGCTCGCGCCGACGGCCTGTTACTGGAGGTGGGATTGGGGAGGCGCTACTCCACCACACTGGCCAAAACCCGTGCCTCTGCGGCTCTCAAATAGGAAGGAACTTTTGGTCTGGTCCCTCCCCTTTTGCTTTGGAAGAGGCGTTTTATAACCTCCCCCTTCCCTCCCCAACCGCTCCGCTACGGGAGGCTGGTGCCCGACAGGAGGGGGGGGGGGGGGGGAGGGAGCAGTCGATTATTGATGTGGCCCCTGCATCACGGACTACGTTGGAGCTACACTAATGTACACGGCTTGATATGGCTGGCTGGTATTTGCCTATAACTAGGACTCCGATGTTAACGATCCCGGTGAACACGTCAACATCCCGGTAAAAGTGTGGTCAACATAACGCTTGGGCTAACATGGTGCAGTAGCTCAGTGTCTGGATGGAACGGCAGAGGAATACTGGCCCCTCGTCTGTAGATCAGTGAGCGCTCCAGGTCTGTTCGTGCACATCTGGTTTCCTTGTACTGTCACCATGTGAATACACGCGGCTTGTGCAAGCCCACACGGCCTGTTCATTGTTCTTTTACTTGCGCTGGAATGCGAATTGCGTACAGATGATCACTGCTTGCGATTGCTTCTTGCCTTACAAACAGACGACGTAAGTCCGTTTTGCTATTATTTATTCGTTCTGGTTTACGCTGGGCGGAGCCAGCGGCCGACCCTATGGCGAAGCAGTCTTGCCGCCGGCTGCGCCGTTTACCGGGCGTCTCATATCACAGCGCAGCGAGTCGGCCACAAGCGGGGGCTCCGGTCTTGACACATACAGCCCACACTCGACCCTGAGCCTTCCAGCCAGCCACGGCCGTCCGAAGCCGGCAGTCAATGGCAACATCCAAGCAAGGCAACGTACGGCCAGAGGCCACCAAACATCGAATCGGACACCCAATGACAGCGTCCAACTTTGACCAACACAAACGACAGCCGTCCAGCCTGGGCCGCACAACCCACTGCAGCGCTTTGTCACAGTCGGCAGCCAATGGCGGTACGGTTCTGGGCCGGCCGCTCCATGGGAACGCGCGGCCACGGCGGTACACACCATGACTGGATGACGGTCGGGGCGGACGGACTAGCTGTAGGTGCGCAGGCTTTGAAGCCGATCTCGCGAGGTGGCCAGACAGTAGGCGGCTGCCAGTCCCAGGCCCACCCCGCCGCCCCATCAGACAGCGGCGCGCGCCAGCTGGGGACAGACGGTCTACCCGTCACATTGGCGGCAAAGGCGCCCGCCGCGCCAACCAGCTGGCGATGGGTATCGCCCTCGTCTGATGTGCTAGCCTGTACACAATGTTTCAGCCCATACATTGCCCGGATGTCGTCAGATGTCAATGGGTTCTGACAATGAACCGCATGGGCAGTGGCTTGTAGCCGTGTGTGGTTCAGATCACGAAACCTCTCCTCCGAAATGGTGGAATTTGAACCGGCGTGTTCCGATTGCGAATCTGGGTTCGACCAACTGACTTAAAACGGGAGGACAATCGTTCGATCGCAAAACTTGGTGCAATTCATCTCTTGGATATTTGGGGATTGAATCATCTGCAGTGGTTGGAAACCATGTTGGGCTGTTGGTGGATGCTGGTTATTGGGGGCTTTATGGCGCGCCGACTGCCCTGGTCATATGGCGCCCCATGTCTGCGTTTGGCTGTTGACAGGGTTGACTCTGAACGCTTGAGACTCGGAAGTCCGGCGTAGCAGAATGCGTATAGTGAGAAAGCAATCACCAATCAACACGGGATGGAATAACCAGCACGGACGCAAAGCAACACTGAAAAGTTAGAAGGGTCTAGGAAGCAGGATACATGAAATTGCTACCAAACCTCGTCCGTAAGCCGAGCGTATCCCTCCGCCCAACATGGCTCCCACTACCGCAGACAAATTTCCATACATTTTGGACATCAGTGACACTGAGTTCTAACATCGAATGATTCTCTTTCGGGGGGGGGGGGGGGGGGTTGCGCTCAGTTGGTAGGGTGCTTGACTCGCAATCTGAAGTTGCGAGTCGAGTGAGAGAGAGTGAGAGAGAGACAGAGACAGAGACAGAGACAGAGACAGAGACAGAGACAGAGCAGAGACAGAGACAGAGACAGAGACAGAGACAGAGACAGAGACAGAGACAGAGACAGAGACAGAGACAGAGACAGAGACAGAGACAGAGACAGACGACAGAGACAAGACAGAGACAGAGACAGAGACCAGAGACAGAGACAGAGACAGACAGAAGACAGAGACAGAGGACAGAGACAGAGACAGATGACAGAGACAGAGACAGAAGACAGAGACTAGACAGAGACCAGAGGACAGAGACAGAGGACAGAGGACAAAGACAGAACAGAAGACAGAGACAGAGACAGAGACAAGACAGAGACAGAGACAGAGACATGAGACAAGATACAGAGACAGAGACATACAGAGACAGAGACAGAGACAGAGACAGTAGACGAGACAGAGACGAAGACAGAGCAGAGACAGAGACAGAGACAGAGACAGAGACAGAGCGGACAGAACGAGACGAGACAGAACAGAGAAGAGAGAGAGAGAGAGAGGATAGATAGTAGAGAGAGAGATATAGAGACAGAGACAGAGAGAGAGAGGAGGAGAGAGAGGAGATGAGAGAGAGAGAGAGAAGAGAGAAGATAGAGAGAAGAGAGAGAGAGAGAGAGAGAGAGAGAGAGAGAGAGAGAGAGAGAGAGAGAGAGACTTGAGAGGAGAGAGAGAGAGAGGAAGAGAGAGAATACATACATACATAACTCCGATTTCAGAGCATGGGTTCTCAGAGTGATTTCAGAACATAGATCAGGGTTGTCCAGCAGCAGTCTGCTGTTCAATAAGCAATTTGTGAAAAAGTGATGTATATGCAATAAATACCGATGGACGAAGGCGATACTCTCGCCTGCCATCCTGTCTGACCTACCTATAGCCTCCCGCCTCTTGCCATCCTTCGAATCCCGACCGACATACATCGCCTGTGCCAACGTGATCGTCCCATCCTCCAACAGTACATTGATAACCTGGGGCCCTGTTTGACCACTCAAAAATGGCCGGTCTTGTCCCGAACGCTGTGTTACAGGCTGGGAGCCGACCTCATCTCACCTGACCACTCATCTGTCCGTGTCCACCACCTGACCTGACCGGACCACCAGCCCGTCGGTGTCCGCCACCTGACCTGACCTGACCACCAGCCTGTCGATGTCCGTCACCTCACCTGACATGACCACCATCCCGTTGGTGCCGGCCACCTCACCTGACGACTTATAGAGCAGGCCGGTGGCCGTGCCGGCCGTCAGCGTGTTCAGCTCGTCGTCGGTGCCCCGCGCCCATGACAGCAGCACGCCGAAGGAGAAGTACATGACGGCCATCACGCCCACAGTGTTCGCGGACGCCGCGCCCCGCTTCATCACGTAGTTGATCATTCTGAGGCGCGCAGAATGCAGAATTGGCACGAGCGGCGCGATACAGCGCATTGGACAGCACGATGGCAAATCATTTGCGTTTTCGTCCCGACGGTCTTCACGCAACGAAGACACTTGGCAAATGTTCATCAAGGCAGACGGCTGTTCCCAACATTAGCAACGCAACTGATCATATCGGTCACAAATGCAGAGACCCCTGTGGCATCCGGGTCACAATCTGTTGCCCGTGAAGCGTCTCTCAGTTCAAATGAGCTTCGGCATACAGGGCCGCTCAAGACGGAACCACCACTGCGCGCCATCCCAAGGTGACGTGCGGTGCTACGAATGGGTGGCCACCTAACCTGCGAAGTGTTTCCCAATCTCGAAAAACTGAAGGCGTCAGCTGAGGCACAGCTGGCAGGAAGTCGTCAGGTCACAACCAGCACTCGCCAGTCCAGGCGCCGGCCGGCCGGGCGTCCGCCCTCAGCGGCGTCGCGTCGGCGGCCACCACTCACTGTGTGCGGCGCACGGCGCCCGTGTGGCCGGCCAGCTGCGTGTCCCGTATGCCGCTGAACAGACCGATGGCGCCGCCGTACAGGCCGCCGCCCAGGCAGCCACCTGTCAGGCAACGCACGCTTTCAGGCCGGCCAAAACGCACCACGCCAGTTTGGTGAGCCCACGCGAGAGCGCAGAGCGCAAAACATCACCGTAACACCGAGCAGACGACATGTGATTGAGACCGTGATTTCATGTCCTAATTAGCAGTCCGGGAGTTGTTGAAGGGTTCAGGCAGTATCGCAGGCAGAGAGAGGGAACGGGGGGGGGGGGGGGACGGGGGCCCGGGCCCCCTTGATTTCAGTGGACGCGAAGGGCCCCTCGGAACCCACGATTAGGGGCCCGAAAGGTCGGCTGCAGGTCCCATTCAGGGGCCCCGGCCCGCAGGGTCGGCACTCTTGTACCAGCCAGAAGGCCCTGCACGCTGATCAGGGGCCCCTGAGTCCTTAAGTGTATAAATGTCGGCTAGACATCCTAGTAACACAGTCTGATCTGTGACGGCATGGCCTAAGGGCTCATTTTACAAGCAGGAACAAAGCCGGAGCCAGTGATTTACAATGGTCGGGGCTCTAGCGTCTATCAGGGCCCAAAACACCTAACGAGACCTCAACACTAGAGTCAAACAGTTGGCTCCATGTCCGCCTAAGCCCTTGGGACCCATTTCCCAGGCAGAAGCGAGGCCGCGGCCCACGATTTGCAATGTTCGGGGCCCATGACACAATGAGGGGCTCCTATATCGGTCAGGGGGCCGACAGTATCTAACTGAGTGTCCTGTGCCAACAAGGGGCCCCGAGTCGGTCAGGGTAATATTTGTTCAGCAGGGACCGGGACGGCATCCAGAATGACAGACGGTTTCTTGCGCTGGGCGCAGCCCTCTGACAGTGAATGGAAAAAAATGGGAGGTTATGACGAGTGCTCACACTGGGACAGTGGCAAGGCCCGGTGTCAGTCAGGCCCCCCAGCGCCGAACGGTCGGCCCTCTCAACTCAATTCCAGCACTGAAGTCCATGTGACAATTATTGGCCCACCTGCGGCAATCAGGGTTGCTGCGTCGGTCCGGTGCCAACTGCGCGTCAGGGGGCGGACCGATGTGATATGTATGAAGTATCCCTCTAAGGGACTCAATCGACCAAGGGATCCCGCCCCGTGTCGCTAGAACGGCAACCGGAAGACACACCGCGTGGGACAGATGGCCTTTCAACCCTTTACCAGAACAGTAATATGCCCTGAGTGTTCTACCCCAATGGGCCCCTCGCCCGGAAAGAAATGGAGCATCATAAGTGTTGAGCAAAGTCGGCCGAAACGAGTGAAAAACGGACAAGGCCATCCCATATTTGCTTGAGAACGTTCATCCTTTTGCAGAATAGACCAAGGAAACAAATTACATCAGAAGGTTTGCCTTCGCGCATCCGCAATCTCGGGAGCAAGGACAACGATGGCCTGGGTTGCAGCTTCCGTAAAACTGAATGGCGTTAGCCACTGCAAGTGACGCCATGCGGTGGGCGCCACGCGCACGAAAACCACCGTCGTGAAATGATGGCTAACAATGTCTGAAATTTAAGTCGTACCGTTCGCACCGCAAGATTAGACTGGGCGATCTTTTTTTTTACAACTTTGAGGATGTCCTCTGGACAGATTAACAGCTAGAGCAACACGAAAAAAGAGACTCTACCCTTACTCTCCCAGTTCCACCACCAGATTTCAGCATCACTGCGAGGCCCTGTTGAGGCCAATTCGCTATCATTAATCTAGAAATCACATAGGTGAACTAAATACTCGGACCGCTTTCAAAATGTATGATTCGATGTCCTAAAGTGTTCAAAGGCACTTCTTTCAGAGGCGTTATGCACTTCGTTCACCTCCTGGGCAAGGCTCAGTTTTTACCGCCCGACCGACGCCGCGCGGCCTATCGAGACTGCAACGCCTGCGTCAATGTCTCTGTTGCTGAGATTTGTAAGCATGCATGTTCAAGATTATGGTATATAAGTTGTATCCCTGATCAACAACTTATTTTACATTGTTGTTTAAAGCACTTTGTCATATCTAAAGCAGCTCTTCAGTTTATCGACTACAAAGTTCAGACAGAGTTGATCTCACTAGGTTTTGGCTATTATTCCAGTTAAAGATGGATAAGATAAAAAATGACATAAACAAGAAATAGACCATTTCCGGCGATTTTTTGTGGGGCCTTTTCAGAATCAAGAAGCTCTTTGAACACCCTGTACCCCCTTGCCGAGGCTCTGGCTGCATGCCTGTGCTCAGGTGAGCTGTCTTAACTGTTTGTGGGCAATAATGGAAAAGCTGACAGATGCTTCACTACTTCCCTTTTAACTCCAATGTCATTATTTTTGAGGGCACCTTATAAAATGTGCAATGAAACCCATTTCCCATGTCCAAATACTACATCTCTGTGGTGAGAAAATACGAGTTAACTGGAGTAGGCATAAGAAAAACACTGCTTTCAAGATGGAATAGGCTATCTCAAATTATACCATGCACAAAATGTGGCCCACTTCATTCCAACATTCACTCCATATCACATACCTCCTATCTGAGAGAAGGCCACTTCAAACCGGCCCCGCTGCTTTGAGGCTCCTTCAGGGAAGATGAACTCTGGCTGTGTGGCACCGAGGTATGATGGATCAAAGTTGAGGTACGGCGATATTTGTGCAAGCCCGGGAGACGAAGACACTGAAAGAAACGTTGTATTAGCTGCGTGCTGTTCTAATTCACACTTCAAACTTGACCTACAGGGATGTATTCTATGGCTTACTCCATATATCCCATATAGGTAACCAATCATGCTATCTTCAGGAACAACCAAATTATTGCTGTTTAAAATGTTGTGATCAACAACATTCTTTTCTAATACAGCGCAGTGCACTAAGTGTGCTGCCTCATGGTGCAAAATAACTTGGAGGCTGAGCAGGGAAAAATGTCAAGACCTGCTCCCACATACATCAAACATGGCATTTGCACCAAAAATGATGAATCTTTCCAGTACAGATAAGGGCTTGATGGAGTCCCTGACTGAACATGAAACTAGTCTGATATACAATGACATGTCGCCCCCATCCTGGTGCTCACTGAAACTATGCCCCTGGTCTGATGTCCATTGAAACTACACCCCTGACACAGTGTGGGAAAAACCTCCGTTTTCTGGTGGATGTGGCACCAGGAAATTTTGTACTCCAGGCTCTTGACTGGTAAGGATGACAATTTTTGTACTCCAGACAAATGCTGCAGTCGCCCCCACAAAGCAGACACAATTGCAAATGTATGAGCCTGAGTATAAGTACCAAGGCAGACAGTTTTGCTTTCTTGATAGCCAGGAGGGTGCACAAACTTTGCTTTCATAAAGTGAGTTATAACTTTTATTTGATTTCCAGGGATCAAACATATGGAGCACCAATAAATGGAAACACGCGTCTGCAATCCTGCAGGAGCTGGCCAATCCAGGGCGTTCATGTCAATGTCCATCATTGTATTACATGGGTTAGATGCACTTGTACAAGCCTATGCAACTCCTGAATGGTGATGACAACTCATGTGAGTTACTTCTGTGGAACTGAAATATGAAATGTGCTTGTTTTAAGTACCTACCGCTGCCACATACCTCGCATGTCATTACCTGTGGGGAAAATATATGGCGCACCTAAGTAAAACCGCATTCTCCACGACGCACACACCTACCGATACCTTTCAAGAAACAGACATACATATCACGGCTCTGGCTCCCACCACGCGACGGACCCATCGCCTCCCGTACCCGAAACCAACGGCAGCCCAGCCTCCTGCAACTGACGAGTGCATTTTCGAGCAGTGAGGGTCCGCGTCGCAGCAAACACCTACAACAATATTCGTTCGACTAGAAAACCATCAGCAGCACCAAAATCACCGATGGCACATCTTTTTCAACTAGGTCATTCAAGGACTCGCCGAGCAAGAAGTCCAGCATACCAACTATGCTCTTAACTTACCTCATATTAAGATAACATGTTAGCGATTTTACCAAAGGACGTGCATCTTGCAAACAGTTTGGTGGGAAAATTCCAAAATATTGCAGCATTGCACATCCTTTTCAAAGCGCTTGTTTCATTCCTGCTCCTGCCATACCAGCCACCAATCACCATCCAACTTGTAATTAAACTCAAAACCATAGCATTCAAAACACACCACATATCGGCACTTTTGAAATAGCATCATGACATTAAATGGCATCCAAATATCACGTTTGTGGGCGGCACTTTTGGTGGTAACGGCTTCTTTTGGGTTCTTAAATGTCATCGGAAATTACGTTCCCAAGATGGGAGTTTGTGGCACGCAGCATTCCAAAACTTATTACTATTGTATAAATGATAGTACGTCAACCATTTTTTTCAGAAACCGGTAAATGCCGGTCTTTGAAGATTCGAGGATATCTTACTTATTTAACAATGGTATCACGTCTCCAGGCTCAACCAGTACCTATACCTGTAAGATAGAGATGGTCCATAACCCGGTGGGAAAAAAATCGCAGTACTTGGTTGCCCTTCTCACAATGGGGCCCATGAGGAGACCCGGGGAGAAACAAGCCGGAGTACAAGCCGGAGAACAGTGAGTTTTTAGCAAAGTTAACCAAATTTAATTGAAAAATTTACGTGTTTTGGTATCGCCCAGATACGGGCCTTCCTCAGAGGGTGTTGAAATGACATGCCTTAGAATGATAAATATCTATACATTTGTAGTACAGGTACTGCATTATCTCGGCGTTGTCTTGCGCCACCAGAAGATAATATATACTTGTAGGTGGAAAATAGCAGCTTGAAATGCATGACTGTACAGCTCCATGATTTTTCTACCACAAACTTGACAATTCGTGTTCGTGCAACTGCATAAATGGCTTTTCTTAGACTATTCATCACAGCCTGTCATTCAGGACCGACCCGTGGTACTTGTACTTGGTTGGCCCATTGACGAGTGCTAGAATGCCATCACAATGTCTGTGAATGCGCCAGAGCTCCTGTGCATGGTTTGGTTGTTCGTCTTGATGTGGTGGGAGTGAGGAGGGCGGAGGGTGCATGAAGCTGCTTGGGATTATGTGCACCGTAGCTGCGAGTTTGAGGTATTCAGTGAGGCAAAGTGGAATTGGTTGTCTTCAATTTTCACACAGCATGCATCCACACTTCTTAAGTTACGTGGGATTTGGTATTGGACCGCTATGAAGTCATTCCAAAAAATGTAAATAAATACCGGGGGACTGACCTATAAATGTTAACCACTGCAGGCCAGTGCAGGATCACCTTGGTATAACCTGCTCTACCTACAGCATGGTGGGTAGGTACGTAGGTACTAAGGTATCTATATACAACATTAATGCTAGGCTCGGGTTTCCCACGTGGGATCAAATATGAGACTGGCCTCTTTTCAGCCTGTGGTTATAATTAAAATTGGAGAAGTAAAAAGAGAATGTAAAATTGGAGAAGACGAGAGGGATAACAGGAGGTGCAGGAAGAGAGGAAGAGCAGAAGTGGAGGAGTGGAAGGAGAAGAGTGGACAGGAGGTGAGGAACTGAAAGAGGAGAAGAGCAGAAAGAAAAAGGATAGGAAGAGGAAACTTTTGGTATGTTTATATTAATTATGTAAAGGCCAAAAAAACTACATGTTAGTTGATGTCACATACATAAGGCTTTCATAGTCAGTTGCAGGCTGCCTAAGACTCATTAAAAACCAGGGTGTGATGCACAGTGGTCGTCCGCAATTCAGTTTGTCAGTAAGCAGAGGATGCACCTGATTTATCATTTTGATATTGTGTAAGTTTGCATGTAGATAGGCAATGACAAGCAACTGAGCTTTGTATGATGCACCTGTGAATGCATATGTATAAAGTTTTGTTGTTAACCTCTCTACCTGTATATTTCTTATTAACATGTACCATTAATCAATCTTTGCATGTATAGGTGAGCTAGTAGCACTACAGGGATATGGATGGGATCAGCGTGGCACCCTCACTCACAAGAAGTGCTCTGTTCCACTGAAATGCAAAACTGCATGCTAACACTAATTTTTTCCAGAAAAACATTGGGAAAATGTTGCCCCATTAAAGGCAGTATGTGATGTACTCCAAGCAAGGCCCATTGTGCAGACACTCATTCCACATTAGAAAGACCTTTGCTTGCAGGCAAGTTTGTACTCCGACCACAATAATTCTTGTACTCAACCACCAGCAAAAAAAAAAAACTAAATTCCCCACCCTGCCGTGACACGGTGTTTAATGGAAATACACCCCTCATCCGACCTCTGGTCTGGTGTCCATTGAAACTATGCCCCTGACATGGTGCTCACTGGATCTACACCTCTGGTCTGGTGTCCACTGAAACTACAGGTCAGGGTATAAACTGCTACCTCATGTTTTACCAACAAGCAGCAACCGCGACCCTGGCACCACTGCTACTTGTGATCAGATTACTGTGCACCAAGAATCATAAAAATGTATGGGGCCAAGTGACAAGAACCAAGTGAGATATGTTTCTTGTGTATCCAAGCAGTCTTCCACATTGTTTGTGGGTTGGTCAACATGGTGGGAAAATAGGATGTTTTTGGGTGGGAATGAAAGGCAAAATGAGAATATGTCAGCTAAACAACTTAATATGGCACAAATATATACCCACACACACACAGACATTATACAATATATATATATATATATATATATATATATATACATAACATGGAACATAGATGCCAATGGGACACTGGGTTGAAGAGGGTAGGGTGGGGAGGTTGGGTTAGGTTAGACCAGACTAGACTAGACTAGACTAGACTAGACTAGACTAGACTAGATTAGGTTAGGTTAGGTTAGGCTAGTTTAGGCTATGTTCTGGACTATGCTGGCCTCTCTGCTGTATAAATGTACCTACACACAATAAGAAATGTTTTTCATTGCATTATCATCTTTACCTTGGCCCTGTACATTTTTTATGGTTCTTGACAAGCAGAAATATTGTAACCATGCAACAATGATGCAGGAACAGTGCTGGGGAGTTGAGGCGGTGGGGGTGTGTGCAGCGCTTGGTAGCTCGCTATCATAGTTATTAAAATTTGAGGGTAGGAGCATGAATCTACCTGTTTTATGATTATTCACGATAAGTTCCGCCTTAAAGAAGACAAATGATGTCCAATTTTTTTTCTAACATTAGGTATGAATGTATACCTACACTACACTACATCCCCATCCTGGTGCTCACTGAAACCATGCCCCTGGTCTGGTGTCCATTGAAACTACACCCCGAACATGGTGTGCACTGGAGCTACACCCCTAGCCTGGTGTTTGCTAAAACTACATGCCTGGTCCAATGTTTATTAAGAAACAGCATTACTTACTGTACAACAGCATGCATAGTACTCTAATGCTACATGTCTAAACTCATGCTTTAAAAAGGTTTACTTGGCACTGAGTCTCTGCCCCCTGCTCAGCTAAATTGTGAACCAATTAACATTCAATGCCATCTATAGATACTTCCACATACTGTGAATGCCATATCCAGTATAAACCATAGTCCTTTCAAGGAAAAGGGGCAAAATGATAAAATTTGCTAATACCTGACAATTGTTAGCATCTTGAGATCTTTAGCAGTTACCTTGCATGCAGTGTTATTCTTACAGTGGGCAACCAGGTCAGGGTGTACTTTCCTACCTAACGTTAGAAAAAATCATTGTACACCATTCGTTGTGTTTAAGGCAGGACATATCGTAAATAATCTCAAAACAGGTAGAATCATGCTCCTACCTTCGAATTTCAATAACTTCGATGGCGGGCTCCCGAGCGCCGCGCGCACCGCACCGCCTGGACTCCCCAGCGCCGTTTCTACGTTGCCATTGCGTAAATACAATATTTCTGCTTACCAAGAACTCTACAAATGTACGGGACCAAGGTAAACCATTCGTCGTGTTTAAGGCAGGACATATCGTAAATAATCACAAAACATTAGATTCATGATCTTACCTTCAATTTTTTATAACTACGAATAATGTGCTTTCACAACAACGCAGAAACGGCGCTTGGGAGTCGAGGCAGTGGGGTGGGGTGCGTGCGGCGCTCGGGAGCTCGCTATCGTATTTATTATATTCGAGGGTAGGAGCATGATTCTATCTGTTTTGAAATTCTTTACAATATGTTCCGCCTTAAACACAATGAATGGTTTACCTTGGTCCCGTACATCTTGTAGAGTTCTTGGTAAGCAGAAATATTGTATTTACGCAACGGCAACGCAGAAACGGCGCTGGGGAGTCCAGGTGGTGCGGTGTGCGCGGCACTCGGGAGCCCGCTATCGGAGTTATTGAAATCTAAGGTAAGAGAATGATTCTACCTGTTTTGAGATTTACAATATGTGTCGCCTTAAACACGACAAATGGTGTGCAATGATTTTTTCTAATGTTAGGTAGGAAAGTACACCTACAGCAGCAACCATTTCAATCATTACTCAATTTAGTGAAATCATTTGCCATTGAAATTCCTCACCAGCATAGAGGCTCTGCTCAAACCCTAGTGAGATGTCTGAATTAACCCTATGTGGTGTGCCCAATTTCATTTAAGTGGTGGCGATTTTGAAATATCCTGAGAAATATGACATTGCAAGTTGATCACAGCACAATATAGAATGCACAGGCATAAGCATGTACATCACGCAGCACAGACATGGGCATTTAAGCCAAGTTTACTCCACATGTATATTGTTCAATCACAACCCCAAGTTGGTTCAGAAAAAGAACAGAGCACACATCAGTCATGCAGTGCTAGGTCATGGAAAACAAAATTAATCAAACAGTGGATGAGACTAATATAGGATAGGTAATTCATGCAACTACCAAGCAAACTCCAGCTCGCCAGAGTCGTCACAAACGCGTCGCCCACGGAAATTATGGCGTTTAGCGATCTTGAGGGTGGCCGACACTTACCAGGTACATTAATCGAAGGATCTGCTGAGGAATATGGATTGAACATGCCACGAAGGCCTCCTTGCTTCGATTCCATCGCCATCAGGATCCCCACCGCCCAAAAACCCGCCACCACCCGCCAACGCCAGACGAGACCACTCGTAGATGCCCAAGGTTGCATAAAACTTTAGAGCCCCAACTGCTCAACCAAGATCACTAAAGAGGGCTACGTAGACGTGACATCATCATGGAACTATAGTTTGACAGCCCGAAGTGTGGTTTTTGGTTGATACTACCCAAAAGTTCGTAGTTACTGATATAAAATTCTGATGAAGTTAAACCGCTCCGAGATTTAATCTCCCTTCCAGAATTGTGTTTGCATGACACAACCATTGACCATTCATTCAGAGTCCAACCGGGAAGCGCCAGCCGCACGCCCCCAAAACATACCCACCATTCAAACTAATGGGTTGTGTAGCAGTCAGCTGGCTAACTGGGAGCCTTCCGTGCCACTGACGTCATCAAATATGGTATACTTGACGTCATGCACGCTTTGCTTCCAATAAACCCCTATTCTCAAGCACGCTCGAGGTCTTGACCATGATTTTTTTTCTACGCCGTTACCCAAGACAGGCAACCAGGAGTGCCCCTCCCTCAATCCCAGCGACGCAGTAAACCGTACGTTAACACCAGAAAACATAAAATCAAGTCACGGCACTCCCAGCTAGGAAGATGAAACAAACGTAAAAAAAACAGGCGAAGATGTGGAGCAGACCCGAAGGAGTTGTGTTAGGTGATAGGTAGGGAAAAATCATAGATTAAAAGGCTTAAAGTAGTCATTAGCCAAAGTCAGCTAATGACAGCCCGCTATAACCGCCCAATAATCTACAATCACCCAATTCACCGTGTTAGTAAGGGCTATACAGTCACACAAGTCGGAGGGGGCAATTACCTGGTCATTTTTGTGCTGGGTTTTGAGCTGGATGTCCAGGGAGTCCACCCAGCTAAGCAGAGCTTGTTGCTGGGAGAACTCCCGGAGCCAGCGCCATGAATTTGTGTGTATGTGCATTACTTTATATCAGAAATTGATTATGAAACATGAAGGAGGTCAAATATGAAGTGCGTTGGATATGTACAGCACAAGGATGGCAATGTCTTCAAATATGTTAGTTACGTTAATATGTGTTCACGAAATGCTTGCGGATGATGTTCTTAACGATGGTTTTTGATACAGGGATATGGGCTATTCTTGGAAAATATGAAACCATATTGTCGTTCCACAGCTTAGGGCCAAGGCAAGATGCTGTAAATAGTCTATAGTTATGATAAGAGAAAGGTTGGTCTAAATGTTTTGCTCGTCTCATATCCATGTCATTGGATTCATAGAGGTTGTAAATTAAATCGAATGAGGCAGGGAGCTGTGAAGTTAAAAATTTGTACATCACAATTAACATTTGAGATGTAGCAATATCCGATAGTTTCAAAATTTTGCATCGTTTATGCTCTGAAAATTCTCCGCGATTCTCCCTCGCTACGGAAAGTTATCTGGGATAATTCTCCATGTCGGCAGCGCCGAACGCCAGTCAGGGAAATTTCCCAACATTCCGGATAATTTTCCGAGATTATCTGCCGGCCGAACGCACCGTATGTGTGATGCCAGTACATCTTCGAGCCTAGTTAGTACGGATCCTTGCTAGGAGGGGGACCCTGTTCCAGGGCCTTGCGGGGGACCGTGTAAGTACCGATTCGTGCTAAATCTGGCGGGGTTTAGCACGCATAGACAATAATCAGCGCAGTCCGGTAGCCCAATGCGCAACAGAGGAAATAGGCTATTTAGAGGTGAACGTCGTGCATTTATTTTCGTTCTAAGGGAGTGGAAAACCTTCACCATTTTGGCACCCCAATTCTCATTTGATTGCAAGTTGCTGCAAGGACGCGGGTCGGTTGGTGGTCGGTGAGGAGCGTGGGCAAACGGTTAGGAAACGTGCTCGGAGAAACACTTGCACTTAAGTTACAGAGCGTCATGTTCTACCGTATGAATATGATATTTATATATCCTGGACTACGGGCCTTGGGTATATTGTCTTGCGGATAGTGCGGAAGATGGAATATGGTTCCTGGGCTGTACCGGTGTACCGATTTGTATTAGGCATGGGTTTGGCTCAAATTTCTAGAGTTAGCTAGGGGATGGGTCACAAAGTTTGAGATCTGGTTCAGCTCAAGACTCATTCCTACTCTATTTTTCATTTGACTTTGTTAAGTGCATTGCTTGCATTTAATCATTTGGCCCATAACTCACGTAGGTTGTAAAAGTAAATAGCTCTCTCTCAGTTGAGATTTGAGAGATTCCAGGATCAACAGTATGGTGTTTGCTGCTTAGGAAGAACACCAAACTTCTTGCAAAGAGCATTGTGATTAACATTGCATGGTGTTCAATTTAACTCTGAAATTGTATGTTGACTTGCCTAAAGTACAAAGCATATCCTCACACTGCCACTGAAGTTTAGACATGTGCATCACTGATGCAACATTGCTAGAAATGATTGGCCCATGATTCAGTGCATGAAATGTGTGAAAAATGTGATTTAGGTCATGACTCCAAGCAGCATTCTTCCTAGTGAATAAATGCAGCCTATAACTGAGTCCCAAAACAATGACTCATGAGCTGATTCACAATCCACCTAGCATGAAACAACAGACAAATAGACAGATGTATACATATGTATATGTATACACACATACATCTATATGTATATGTCCTCTGGTTCAGGGCTGATATTCAGCAAATTTCTGTATGAATAACATCAGTGTTCCTGTTTAGAAGTTCCAGTAAGAATTCTGTGTGATGTTGCAAACATTTTATGACAAATGCTGCATAGTGCTAATTTTGACCCTGACATAACGTTTGAGTTTGCATAGAGCACACTGTAATTCCTCATGCTGCTAATGTATTTTTAGCTCTATGACTCACTGATGCAGCATGGTGAAAAATCATTAGCTTATGATTCAGCTCATGGAATGTATGAAAATGGGAGTCAGGTCCTGAGGCAAAACAACATTTTCCTGGTGAGCAGATGCAGCATATAACTCACCCCAAATGATTGAGTTGTGTGAGCAGATTCACTATTCAGCTTGAGCTAAACTCAGGTCTGGCTGGAATGTGTATGTGTGTGAAAAATGCTGAATTTAGTAGATGGTTACCTGGTTATAGACAAACTTGCATTATTTGGCATGTTAACCATGTTGTTAAAAGGTTTTGTTATCTGATGCCTGACATGACAACAAGGCTTGAGTTCATTCACAAGTTGAAATCCCGGATGTGAACTTGTCTTCTTTAGAACATGCATGCTAGCAGTATATATATATATATATATATATATATATATAATATATATATATATAATATATATATATATATATAAGCTGCAAAAAGTCTCCTATATAAGTGTTGGTAAAGACCCTTGGCATAGGTTGGATTTAATAAGCTTTTTCTGCACTTGCACCAGCTTTCTTGTTATGGTTGTCTGTCCATCTTTGAGACTAGGAAGTGACTCACTGATATTTGGAATAGATTGGTTAGCCTGATGTTTCGGACCCACATACTCCATTTACAAAGGTACACACATACAACTTACAGGTGACAAATTTGTGATGACGTGTTACAGTTGGGTATAACCAGTAAGGCATAGCGAGTAGGTACAATCAAGGTCAGTTCCGTCATCAATTGCACAGTGTCTAAATGTGTGTGTCTAAAAAGGTGGTCTACATTTTTAGGAGCATGAGAATTTAAACAGCAAAACACATGCTGAATAGTGAGATATACAATCTAATGATGGCACTGATCATCCCTAAAGAAGGTGAAGGGTGACTGAGGGGCTGGTTTGCTCTTTCAGTTCCAGTTACAGTGTTTTAATTGTGACAGCCTCCAGAACATGACTTTTTTCTTGGAAAACTAGAGCAAGTGCAGAAAAAGCTTATTAAACACACCTATGCCATGGTGTTAGAACAACACTTATATATACATATGTGTATATGTATATATAGCCACATATTCATCAGTCAACTGCAGATAACAGACCATATCCAAATTATATCATGAGCTGAATTTCCATCAATGATGCATTCTTTAATTATAAAAGTTTTCAAAAAGCACTTTTGAAAACATAACAAACAGAACATTGATTCAGAATCTTGGCACTTTGCTCATGCTCAGCAAGTGTGTTATATGATGCAGTGAGGTCATAACGAGGTTATCGGTGCCTATAAATTATCTTCCCTCACTTAGGCCGGGTCCACAATGTTGCAGAAGTTTGCTGCAAAAAGAAACCCCTTTACCATCATGTGTATGGGTTGGAAAATGTAACTCGGGGTTGGGGTGGATTTTAATTCTGGGACCCCTGAGATACTGATGTCAGGATTAGCATGCATATTTTAACATTACCTTGTTTTCCTTCAGTCCGTGAGATGTTTCCAATGCTGAGAGTGGTGTCGGAGTATGCTATAGAGTATAAGTATCACTATCAGAATATGAGTAATACTATCAGAATATGAGTAATGCTATTGGAATATGAGTATCACTGGTCAGACATGGTGAAACACCATCATGTGTAGTATATCAGACACAATTATGCACCTATGTTTCCCTGCACAGTGACCATTGCAAATCCAAAGAATGAGCTGCAAACATCAGATTGAAGGGTGTATTTTAAGATGGCAACGCCTTATGTTCTTGAGCTTGTATCCACTGCTGTGATTATTCGTTCCCATACCCTGTCGTCTTCATTCGTCCATTGCGAAATTGGTCTGCGGTTGTGCGCTCTGTGGTAACTTGGATTTAGTTGTCTACGGCTCGGATACGGCTGCTGATCTTTGGCCCACTCAGGTGTCTAGGGCATGTGGCGTCGCTTGCGCTTCTTACTCCGGGAGGAAGGAGGACACTGCGAGGAATCGAATCGGATCCCCATATTCCTGAGTTCTTAGACTTGTCCGGCTTATCCACTCCACTGTCGGCACGCCTATGTATTCAGTTGTGATGAAAGTCCGCATGCGTTATGTTTTCACGGGTGCTGGACTAGACTACTGAGCAGCACAGACGCTAGAAGGATTTGGCGGTTCTCAGTCAGGGGCTGTTAAGAAGCAGAGTTTC